GATAGAAGTGTGATTTTTTTGGTGATAGGAGAAGTTGCTATGTGGTGCGCCAGTGTTGTGGTGTTTGCAATAGCTATCGGGTGAGTACGCAGCCGTGCAGGGCCAGTTTGTGGTTACTGCGCAGTTACACTGGAGCCTATCGTATATAGTTGGGTGTCAAGCACCGGATCGACGCCGGACAAAAAAATTAACTTTACCCTGTACTTCAGTAGGGCAACTTTCTACATATAAACGTTGCACCAAAATTTCAACTTTTCAAAGGTCTTGTCAATGAACGCCCTATTCAAGTCTTACTTAAGTGCGTATTTTGATTATTCAAGTACGTCAACAAACCACCAATTCACTGGAACATGAAGCCTACTTTCCAGGCGTTTCGGATTCTGTCGTGAACCCTTTATCAGAGGTAACTGTAGATTAGGGTGAAACATGCACTCCCAGTTGACACGGTGACGACAAACGGCGTCTAAGAGTAATTTCCTTGAGGTCATCAGAACGCATGACAGAACTGTCTGAGCAAGCGGTTTTTAGTGTATAACAGGCACTTCCCATGGGCCGTTTATCTAAGCAAGTAGGCTTCACGGAAAAGAAAGCGTGCTCTGAAAAGAGAATTGACAGAATCGATGGAACGGGAAGTTTATTCGCTCGACGCTTCTAATGCAGAACTAAAATCTCAGACGTGTGTTTCGCCGATATTTGGCCGCTGAGTGACACAGCTGGGAGGGATTTGGATCATTAGCGAGTCCCGCGGTGTATCCTGTATGCTTTCTGACAGATACGCCGGTTTTTACATATATTTTTAATTTTCTCAGGAACTTACCGATAAACTGGGAGTACGTCGGTTTAGATGAAGCTTTATAAGCGTAGACTGAAAGTTTGTATAAATATTTAGGCCGCATTCTATCAGCTGCAGAAAGATAACCGCGTGAAAATGTGTTGCGGCTGGTACATATGAATTCTCAAAGCTTGGTCTGTATTACCATCGTCTGCCTTGATTTAGCTGTTAGGTTACAGTCAAGAGTCGTATTTAACCAGCATTTACGTCATGCGAATGTCCCTTCGGCAAATTATGGTCATAAAGAATCCGTTTCTCGGAAAAATTAAGGAGTCGGACGTAACGGTAATTCTGCTGAATGTGGTGAGTGGTGGACTTGCACTGACTAGTAAGCGTTGCTTCTAGCCGCCTACCAAGAGGCAGTGTCCTAATAACCATGTCGACCAGTAAACACACGAAGAGACTAACCTAATAGTGCTACAGCCTAAATCTTTTTTTTAAAACTGCCGAAGTCTTCGAAGCGGCTGTCAGAGTCCGTCGGCAGAACCAGGAAAGAATAACAATGTGCTGTCGAGCTCCAAAATAAAACAAGTGACGGCGCAGACTTGCTTGCAAGGACTGCGACGAAAAACGAGTCCTCATTTAAAGATGGAATGAAAAAAACCTTCACAAGGCGAAAAGGAAGGTTATGCACACGTGGACTAACCGATATTCTAGGCCCTGGTGAGAGGGATAGGGGCGAAGATCGGCCAGACTGGGAATCTCCGGTAACAGCGCCTCGGGTGTGGTATGCACCTGCTGTTTTTCTACACGAGCAGCCATCACCAAGTCCTTGATGCGCTCCTCACGCTCACGCAAGTAGCGTTCACAGAAAGGCACATGCCGTAGGCAGTCATATTTACGCGGTAGTAAAGGCATAACATGAGCGGCTTGGTTGTCTTTCACCTTATCACGCCACGCACGTATAAACGCTCGTTCCTGGAACAAAGAAAGGGAAGAAATCATCTGTTGTAACATCACCAAGCAGTCCGTAAAAAGACTGACCATGAGCAGAGAGTGATCAAAGAAGACAATTATAAAGGAAACCGCAATAATTTCGAAATGACATATTCTGAAGCTTATTCTGACGAGGTTAATTACCTCCTCGCTTGACAACAAAAATTCCGGTGGCGGATTGTAGGACTCAGCGTGACTCGGCAGTGGTTCTGATGCAGGTCGCATGTAGGGTCGCGGGCGAGGAGGACGGTAGGTTTGTAGGCTGGCTGGAAGGCCGGCCTGCCAGGGGTATGAATTCTCCGGCACCAAGGTGCCTCCTTCATCCTC